GTTCAGAACAGTTCCAAGGACAGCACAAGGGCCAGGGAGGCAATGCACCATGGCCATGAGAGCTGTTCTGTGCAGCCAAGTGCTCATGCTCACCAGAGGTTTCTAGTAGCACAGCCATGACCCTTTGGGATGCACTATGCAAGGCTGTGCTACACTGCTCCTGTGCATCCTCAGAGATTACACACTTCACTCTGCATTCCCCACTGCTCAGTTGGGGCAGCAGCTGCATGACATGGCTGTGGCTCTGAAGGCAATATGCAGCAACCACCAGTACCGAAGTAAAACTGCCTGCAGAACAGAAGTTGGTTAACAAATGAGTAGTGATGCTTTAAGTTCACACTGCCATAGATGATGCTCAAATACTGCAAACCATGCTGCTCAGTATTATCAGAACAAAGCTAAACATTCTCCAGCATGTGGATTCAGTCTCCCTTTCCAAAGCCGTGCAGGAGACCTGCCCTCACAACAACCTCCACAGATCAAAAAGCACTGTTTCAGCTCTGTGCTTCTGCAGGTGAAGGGAAGTTGGATTTAAGGATTTAAGAGGACACAGTAAAGCAAGTTAAGAAAATTTTTAGAAAAGTAATAATATAGCATAAGTACTTCAAACTTCACACACTGTGCTGGAATCTGAATTTGTGAAGCAACCTAGCATACAGAGCCTGCTTACAGGATGCCCAAGTTCTACAAGTGATGGCTAAGTAAGTCATTTGAGGGTTATCACGATTCCGCACTTCTACATACTGCTTGAAGAATTACTTGTGATGTACAGATAAGGTCTTTCTGCACAGAGAAAGGCAACAGCAAAACTGTAGGTCATCTTTCCTGCATTCACTTAATAACATCCTCCCTTTTTCAGCAACGCTGATTGCAAGCCTTCGTTATAATTTCTTTAGTAAGAACTGAAATGGGTCAGTGATGCAAGAGAGCATAAAGCTGGTGAGAAGAACTGAACTGCCAGCTGCAGGACATGTGCTCTGTCCTCCTTAAGCACTGCAGGGACATAAACCAGCTATTTTCAAGTGGATTTATTTAAAATACATACAACAGAAGCTGATAACGTCTTCTCTCTTTCCCATTCCTCTCACCTGATGCAGAGATTCCTTACATAAAAACAACGGCTCCCTCAGAATCTCTCAAATATAGTCTGAGAACTGCTTCCTGAATAGTGTCATAGGAGATTTTGGACACTGTGGAAGTGAGAAGATTGCAATTTAGTTCATTAGCTTAAAGGATGACCATTTTTAAGCATAGAAGTTCTAGAGACTGCAGTATCAAGGGCTGAAGTTTTACACTCGCCACGTTACTGTCACTGGCCACGGTTCCAGTGGCACACACTGACTCCTGCAGGTTCAACTGAGAGAAAGCAGGTCTGCAGAATGAGCTAGAGGTCCACTTAATGAAGTTATGGAGATGGTGAAATAGCGAAATAGGAAAAAGAATTTCATTTATTTTCGTGACCTTCACTGTCACACATAGTTCTGTATTCACTTGATAACACCTTGATGACGAGGCATTCATTTTCTGACTCGGAAATTGATTCCACTTTAGAAAAAAAAAAAAAAAAAAAAAAAAAAAAAGCCTAGGCAGGTAATTAATTGAAGTTGTTTCACAGACCAGAATTACATCGTTCTCCAGAACAGAACACAGGTTCACTACCACCGCTGCACACCCAACCTGCCCTAAGTTCCTCACACGCACAGCTGCCTAACTCCCAACCACAGCATCTCACGCACGGCTCCTACCAGGTGCACAAGCCTCGGGGACCTCATTCCTGACGGCACGGTGAACTATTCTGCGCACCAAGTTGAACTCCTCACTGCCTGCAGCCTGGCTCCCATCAAAACACCCTTAATCTACACCGCACCGGCTGCGGGAAAGCAGCCCTTTCCAGGCGCTCTGAGTTCATCCCCGCACGTCGATTTCAACAGCCGAACGCCGCAGCGCTGCCGGCAGCCACCACCCAGCGTCGGGAGCCGCATCCCGGCGCGGGCATCCAGCAGGGCGGGCGATGCGAGTAGCCGGCACCTCAGCGCTCGCTGTGAATCACGGCGTGCGGGAGGCGCGGGGGGAGAGCGGCGGAGAAAACCGAGCGGAGGCGAGATCGCCGCGCGGCTCCTGTTGGCCCCGCGCGGCGATCTGTTGGGCGACCTCCTGTTGGGACCCGGCAGCCCTCACCTTGCGGCTCTGGTAGCTCTCCAGCGCCCGCACGGCGGTCTCGGTCAGCTTGACGTGCAGTACCGAGACGTTGTCCGCCGCTTTCCCGCAGGACACGGCGTAGCGGCCCCCCTCCCGCAGCGACGCCATCTTACGCGCCCCTCTTCTTCCTCCTCCGCGGCCTGCCCCGCCGCCGCCTCCGCCGCCGTCTCCTCCGCCGCCGCCGCCGCCCCGCTACTGCCGTCTCCGCCGCCGCCGGCGCCTCCCGCCGCCGCCTCCGGCCGCCGCCGCCGTCGCTACAGCCATCGCGGCGCGGACGTAACGCCGCCCGCCCCGCGCCACGCCCCGCCCTCCGGCAGCGCCCATTGGCCGAGGTGCGGCGCTCGGGCGCGACACGTTAGGACGTCACGGGCGGCGCTCCACGTGCGCGCGCGTTGCGAGGCGGCGCTGGAAGGGTTAACGCCGTGCTCTGCGCTGCTCCCTCGCGGCGCTCCAAGTGTTTGATGGAATCCCCTTGCGCCTTCTCCGGCTCCACCATTTCCTAAAAAGTGGCAAACCAGCAGAACGCGGAGGAACTTGGATGTGCTCTGCAGAGAAAAAGCTGGCAGTTGGTTTGGCACTGACCAAAATTACACTCTGACAGCTAACTGCAGATTGCCATCTGAGTCGCTTAAGCGCATAGAAAGACATCTTACAGGCAGCTGAAAACAGCTTTACTTTCTTTGACCCCATTTCCAGTCTTATTTCTGCTCATCTCAATCAACAGGCACTAAGAAGCCAAACTTGTCCTGTCTTTGTGGGATTGGGTTTAAAACCAAATATGTTGTCTCTCACCTTCAATGGCGTGCATTTTCACAACAAAAATTCACAAATTCATCTTTATTCGCAAGACCACATCCATTATTGTCCTGGCCTGGCCTCCTGGCTAACACACGTGATGGCTCTCAAATTCTGTTCTCATCTCCAGTACTTCTGTTCTTTTATTCCATGCTCGTTGTCTGAATTACAGAATATCCTGAGTTGGAATGGACCCACAAGGATCACAGGATCCAAATCAGCACCACCCAAAATTCAAACCTACATCTGAGAGCAGTGTCCCAACACTCCTTGAACTCCAGCACTGGGGCTGTGCTCACCGCCCTGTGCATCCCGTTCCGTGCCCACCGCCCTCTGGTGCAGCCCCTTTCCCTGAGCCCCAGCTGCCCTCCCCTGACGCAGCTCCATGCCGTTCCCTCGGCTCTGTCGCTGTCACACACAGCAGAGCTCAGCGCTGCCCTCCGCTCCCTGTGAGGAGCTGTAGGTTGTGATGAAGTTCCTGTTCTTTCCAAACTATACTACAGTACCTTCACGTATCCACATGCACCATACACATCTCACACATCTCACACATCGCATTTTCTTCAGGCTATTTCTTTATACACCTTTTCAGCTTTTCCTCTGAAGGTTATTCCCTGGCCAAAATAAGCAAAGGAAATGTGGAATAATAACAAAGCTAATGATAACACCATCTCTTGACCATGTAATGTATGGCTCCATCCACACTGTCATTCCTCATTTAGGGGTGGCTTACTAAGTCCTATAATTTGTATAGGTTTAGGTGTGTCTCTGCATTGCCCTGTTGAAATCAAGGTTGCCTCTGTGTGATTCTTTGCAAGACTGGTTCTCTGGCATGTAAATCTTCCTTAGCATGACTGCATTATTACATAAATAATAATACCAGTAGAATACAGAGAGCAGACATCAGAGGCATCTTCAGAACAGCTCAGCACGGAGTCTTGACATTATGCACTGAGATACATCTCACTAGGCCAAAATGCATGCACCATGGGGTAATGCAAAGTCTTTATAAAGAGGAGAAGATAGAAGGAAAAATGTTTTGTTTTGTTTTGTTTTTCTGAGTGTATTGTATAGAGTTCATGCTTTTAGTAAATCAAAGCATCCATGCAAGTTCTCTCTTCCTTAGCACACAGTTACACAATATGAAATGGCATTTCTGATCAGCCAGTTAGCATAGAACATGGTCCCAGCTCCTGTTATTATCAGGATCAAAGTGGGTACAATATGAGTGGGTACAATATGATACTTAGGAAAATAATGAAAAACACACCAGACTGATAACTGAACCAAAACTTGCTTCTTTGTTTTGCAAAGTGAGATTGCTCACCCTTGTTCCTGAAAACAGTCCCTAGAAGAAAACATTATGCATGTCTCAGTTAAGCCAACAGCCTCACGTTCTCTGTGCTGTGGGTTTTTGGATTTTAGGACTCACCTATATTTGGAAGAACCCATGGTCCTGCCAATGCATCATGAAGTTACATCTGTGTAATTAGATGTATGATTGCATGCTGAGCTGCTTAAGCTGGCACAGCTTTATAAGTTGACACTTTCAGGCTAATAACAGGTTTCCTTTTGCAGCAAATTGTTGCATGTTTTTTTAATTCACTTTGAAAAAGTGAATTAAGAAGCATGGCCCAAACTGCTCCAGTGGCAGATGATAATTGAAATAATTTCTTACACTGGCACAAGTAGTTAGGAAAGGAAGCATTTTTTTTCTCTCATTTAAAGTTCCAACTCCATGTTCAGATGAGCTTTTAGATTTGTGCAGTTTCTATATTTTCTGGTAACTATTTTTTTTCAACTATGAATGAATCAAGATAAGAAATCTAACTTAATGTTCAGACGTATAGCTATTGTTTTTGTTTTTGTTTTGCTGATAGTTGCCTTGTGTATCTAGAGGCCATTACCTGCAGGTAAGGTTTCATATGTTTCATTGCCGGTTGAAGTGAAAAAGGAGCATGCATGAAAGAAAGAAGGTAATTATGCTGATAATTTTTTGTATTGTTCCCTTTTCTGTGGCCTGTTTTGTCCTAGAAGCACTGCTTGGAGAAAGAACTGTAAAATAAGAAGCTTTGTAGCTGGGCAACAAAGTAATTCATCCATTGCCTATTGAGGTGTGGCAGGCTAGCATCTATGCCAAAATATGTGGGGGGATATGGAAAAAAAACAGATGTGATTCAGAGGTGTGCAATTATACTCAGAGAAAGTATAACAACCCAAGAGAAATGACAGATAAAAGCAGTCTATTCTCATTCATTCTAGTGCTTTTCCTGTGTTTTGTTCAGTATTGAAATGAGCCAAAGCAGTTTTCATTTTTTCAGAGCTGCAGAATGTTTATACACACATGTGCCCAAATAAAGAGCAAGCATTAGCAGCAGCACTAGGGTATACAGGGTTTCAGTTTCTGTGCTGCTGCTGCACTTGTTTTACTTGACAGGCGGTAGGGATCCGGCTGGAGGTACAGAGATGCTGTTGCCAAAAGTGTGTATGGCATAGCCTCCTGTTAAGAAAGAGGAAGGAGGTGGTAACACACAGCAGAACATCTGTGTGCACTTCCAGCAGGGCTTGCTGGCAGTTCTCACCTAGCTTTGGGCTTTTAGGGAGTTTCTTTCTTCCATTTGGTTGTGACAGCCGCTGCAGCCACAGCTCAAATGGTGCATCTTACTGCTGGGCATGGTTGTAACCACAGCTTCCAAAGGAAGGAAGAACAAACACCATCCCAGTTCTGAAGATGCTGCCTTCTTTATGCTCCCCATGTCACCAGCTACATTGCCATTACACTTGTTTTTTCCCTCCTCTTATAGTACTTCTCATAGTTTGTTATTCATGGCTATGTGATGACATCAAATTCAAAACCCACTGAAGCATGCGGCCTACTTGGGTAAAACAGGATTCCTGAAGTTCTTTTGACTAGCACATACTCTAATGAGTATGCTTATAAAATTAAAGCAGCCAATGTTTGGAGAAACAGCCAATTAATGTTGGAAAAGCAGCCACTTGTATTATTTGTTCCTTCTTGAATGTGCCCTGAGCTCTTTGTAGCTGGTGAAGCACTGAAGGCTGCAGTGGTAACTCATGCTGCTGGAGGAGTGGTGAGTGATGTGGCCATACTCTGTGGTCTGCGAAGAAAAGCCTCCATTTCCTCAGCGTGCAGCTTAAAAATATACTTCCAGCAACTGTGGGAACAAAATCCTTCAATGTCCATATGAAGTGATTACTTAGTTTTTGGTAGTCTTCAATAGGAAGGTAGTTATAAAATAAGAATCTCAACATATTTCTTTAAAATTCAGTATCTTAATTGAATTGATTTGCAACACTGATTTTCTAATCTCTTCCTAACCATTGCTCTAGTTCTTGCATTCCACTTATAAAAATATTGTCTGCCAAACAATCTCTGCCAAATTACATGCCTCCTGTCCCTTGTCAGCGCCACAGCTGGTGCTATGTGGCCTCTATATACGTGGTTCTTGTTCTTCACATAGCTTCCTGATAAGTTTGTGTAGTGCTAAGATTGAACTAGCCTCATTTGAGCTTTGGAAAACAGTTGTTTTCCAAAAACTGTTGAAAATATACCAGAACTGAAAACTGTTTAGTAGTAACTTTAATCTGTGTCTCTTTCTCCTGAAATTCTGCAGAAATGTGAAATGGAGGTGCATCTGCAAGATGTATGCTGCCACTTTTCTTGACTCCTGTGATATCCCCTGCCACTACATATACAATTTACTCTGCTTAAAGGGAAAAATAAATAAATAAATAAATAAACAACAACAACAACTAAACAGAATTGCTCAAAGAGCTAGTTGGGTAAATTCTGTCTTATATGCCAGAAATGTTATGTGAGATGTAGAATACACCCACTGCATGCAGCACCTCATTTTAGTGGAAGTCCCACAGCTGTGATATTTTTTAAATTCTGCTGAATAACGTGGAGTTGCTAAGGTAACCAAGATTTGGATGAAGAGGTTGGAAAATGAATCAGTATACACTTCTGTAATCAATTATATACCAACATAATCATGTCAAGATTATTTGACATCTTTAATGTAAATCTTGTAATTTTGATTAGAAGTAGCTTCAGATTTGTGCACTTGGTGAAATTGTGTTTTGTTACCAATTTTCTGCTATATAATAGGAAGGGGAGATTTTTTTTATATACTTTTGACTCAGGAGGACATTATGATTTGACTGAATGTTTGAAAAGCTGAATAGAATGAAAGGTCTGTAAGATTTTGCTGTTGTTGCTGCTGCTCTAAGATCCTTGTGTATTTTAGGCTGTGATCTCAAGAGGCTGGTTCTGGTGATGGTCTGGTCTT